CAAACAAAGTCCGTAATTAACAAATTTGTTAATTAACAAATTGGTTAATTAACAAATTGGTTAATTAACAAATTGGTTAATAAACAAAGTCCATAATTAACAAATAGGTTAATAAACAAATTACGTAATTAACAAATTGGTTAATAAACAAATTCCGTAATTAACCAATTTGTTATTTAACAAATTGGTTAATAAACAAATTGGTTAACAAACAAAGTCCGTAATTAACAAATTTGTTAATTAACAAATTGGTTAATAAATAAATTCCGTAATTAACAAATTTGTTAATTAACAAATTGGTTAACAAAGTCCGTAATTAACAAATTTGTTAATTAACAAATTGGTTAATAAACAAAGTCTGTAATTAACAAATTTGTTAATTAACAATTTGGTTAATAAACAAATTGAATAACTAAGAATTCATATATAGTGAACAAATTGTTAATTAACAAATTAGTTATTAATCAAATTTTATAGTTAAAAAATTAAATAACTAACAATATAAGTAATAAACAAATTTTTTTTCAATTAACAAATTAGTAGTTAACAAATTAATTAATAAATAAATTATTTAACTAAGAAATTTACTAATAAATAAATTTTGCAATTTAAAAAATTGTTAATTAACAAAATTATTTACTAAACAAAATGTTTTATCAAATAGAAAAAAAAATTTGTATATAAAATAATTTTTGCCTTTTTTTTTAAATAAACAAACTTTTTTTGAAATAAATAATTTTTGTTTCGAAAAAAAAATTATTTATTTTTTATTTAAGGTTTAATTTTATGAATTTTTTTTTTTTTGTGAATTTTGTGATTAATTATACTTTATAAATATATATTATATATATATATATATTTTTTTTTGTTTTATTAAAAATAACAAACACAACAACATTGAATGTCAAAAAAAACAGATAAAAAAATAGAGAAAATTCAATTAATTAATTTGTTATTACTTATATGAGACATTAATTAATTTAATTTATTAAATTAATTTTTTTTTACTTATCTACTATAAATTATTATTAATAATACTCACAATAATAATAGCAGAGATAATAATAATAATTACTATTTTATTTATTATTATTTTTATTATTATAAATAATAAAAATAATAAAAATAATAATAATAATAATAATAGTAATTATTATTATTATTATAAATAAAAAAAAAATAATAATAATAATAGTAATTATAATTATTATTATAAATAATAAAAATAATAAATAATAAAATAGTAATTATTATTATTTTTTTGTGAATTTATTTATTTATAATTAAAATTTTGAATAAAATTTTGTTATAATTTTTTTTTTTATTTACCCTTTTATGTTTTACGTTGTATATATATATATTATACGGCTAATGTTATGAAACCGGAAGTGTACTATTAAAATTGCAGCAAAACCTGACACAGAAGCAGCCGCCGCATTCAAAATGACTAATGAAATGAAATTTATGCTTTTGTCCATACACACATTTATATATATATATATGTACAATACAGATTTATGTTTTAATGTATTATAAGTACCTGATGTTCTTTCCATTGTAAAATATTGCTTTGCGAGAGCCGAGAAATGGTTAAAAAAAATAAAATAAATAATAATTAATTATTGTTTTTATTATTATTTTTATTATTATTATTATTATTATTATTATTATTATAAAAATTAAAATATAATAATAATTACACGTAAATAAATAATTATTATTATTATATTATAAATAAAATATAAATAATAATAATAATTAATATTTTTATATTATTATTATTATTATTATTATTATTTATATTATAAAAATTATAATAATATAATAATAATTATATGTAATTAAATAATAATTTTTACTATTATATTTATAATAATATATAATTTTTTTTTCTGGAGGGGGGTTTTTAATATTATATATTTTCGCATGAATTGGCAAAAAATTAAAATTTAAAATAAAAATTAAAAAAAAAAACATTATTTTTCTTATTAATACACGTTTTAAAACTTGTTTTTACAGTATTTTCTTTTTCACTATATTCATATTTCATCTTTTATTTCTCACACATATATTCACTTTTTTTTTTTTCTTTTTCTTTATTTTCAATATTTCTTTTCTCTCTTCAATTTTTTAGAAACGTGAAACACGGAAAGAAACAATATATATATATATATATATATATATATATATATATATATATATATATATATATATTTTTCATTCTGTTTGTTCGAGTTTATTTAATCTTCATTTTTTGTGGTCCATCGTTGAAATACATTTTTTATTTAAATATATATATATATATAAATACCTACTGTAAATTATTTTAATAGGAATATTTTATTTTTCATAAATAATTTATTTTATATTTATAAATTTGTTTAAAATATAAAAAAAAAATTATTCATCAAATATAAAATATATAAATTATTTAATAATAATAATAATAAAAAGTAATAATAATAATAATATATAATAATATATAATTATAATATATTATATAATAACATAATATAATATATTATTATTATTATATTATAATATATAATATATAATATAATTTATAATAAATTTGAAATAATAATAAATATTACCATTATTATTGTTATTAAAAAATTATTTTCTAATTGCTTTGAACGAAAAGACGAAGACAATAATTTTTATATTTAATTTCAACACAAAAGAATACAAAAGAGGAAGGAAAAGTTTTTTCTCGTTTTTATATATATATATATAAAAGTTAACTACGATGAAAGTACTTTTTCTTGTTAAAATCGAGAAAATAAAAAAAATTAAAGATTTTATATTATATATATATATAAAATAATAAAAATATAAAAAAGTAGGTGGGGGGAGGGGGGGGGGGGGTTGGAAAAAATAGAGATGAAAAAAATAGAAGTAGTAAGGCATCAGTGTAATGATATCTAGCCTCACCTGACACCTACTTCATTAAGTAAGATGAGAAGCACAACTCTCGAGTCAATTTAATTGTATATTTAAAAATAGTTTAAATGATTACACTCAAAAATAAAAGAAAAATAGAGAAAAAAAAGAATGATTTAAGTAAGAAAACAAAATTTTAATTTTTCTTTTTTTTTTGCAAAAGAAAAAAAATTTCAATCATTTTCAAAATGATAATTAAAAATTTTTTTTTTAATTGTCTCAATGGAATATTTGATAAAAAAATATTTTCTCAATGGAATATTCCAAAGACGTCTTATGTCTCAATGAAATATTCCATAAATTAAATTTCTCTCAACGGAATATTTCATTTCTTAGTATTGTCTCAATGGAATATTCCATAAGTAATACTTGTCTCAACGGAATATTTGATTTCTTATACTTGTCTCAATGGAATATTCTGTAAATAATACTGGCTCATTCATTTCTCAGTATTGTCTCAATGGAATAATCTATAAATAATAATACTTGTCTCAATGGAGTATTTTATTTCTCAACTCTTGTCTCAACGGAATATTAAATCAATAAAATTTGTCTCAATTGAATATTCCACCATTAAGCATTGTCTCAACGGAACATTACACCAATAAAACTAGTCTCAATAGAATACTCCACCAATGAGAGTTGTCTCAATGGAATATTTGATTAATGAGAAATTTGTAAATGGAATATTTAATTAATAAGACATGTCTCAATAGAATATTTCTACAAGATATGTCTCAATGGAATATTCTATAAATTAAATTTGTCTCAACGGAATATTTTATTTCTAAGCCTTGTCTCAATGGAATATTCTATAAATAATAATTGACGCAACGGAATATTTCACCAATAAAACTTATCTCAATGGAATATTCTACCATTAAGCATTGTCTCAATGGAACATTACACCAATAAAACTAGTCTCAATAGAATACTCCACCAATGAGACTTGTCTCAATGGAATATTTGATTAATGAGAAATTTTTAAATGAAATATGTAATTAATGAAACATGTCTCAATAGAATATTTCTACAACATATGTCTCAATGGAATATTCTATAAATTAAATTTGTCTCAACGGAATATTTTATTTCTAAGCCTTGTCTCAATGGAATATTCTATAAATAATAATTGACGCAACGAAATATTTCATCAATAAAACTTGTCTCAATGGATTATTCCACCAATGAGACTTGTCTCAACGGAATATTTCATTTGAGTCTTGTCTCAATAGAATATTCCATAAATTAAACTTATTTCATTAATAAAAATTGTCGAATTGGAATATTTTAAAAATGTAATAGGTCTCAATGAAGTATTAAATAAGCAAAAATTGTCTCAATTGAGTATTTAATTAATGAGACATGTCTCAACGGAATATTCCATTATTGAGACTTGTCTCATGAGAATATATTCCATAAATATTTTTAACGAGTAGTTTAATTAATGAGACTTGTCTCAATGGAATATATGATTAATGTGACTTGTCTCAATGGAATATTTAATTAATGAGACATGTCTCAATGGAATATTATATAAAAAAAACGTTTCTCATTGAAATTGAACTACTGAGATTTATCTGAATGTAATTTTTTTTTTAAAGTTGCTTGTTGTCTCAACGGAATATTGTATCAATAAAACGTGTCTCAATATGAAATATTCCATAATTGAGACTTGTCTCAACGGAATATTTTATTAATATTACACTTTTTCCAAAGAAATAGTTAAAAAATATTTTTACATATTTATCAAATAAAAATTCCTGTGAATAAAATTTGTCCCAATGAAGTATTTAATTATTGTGAAACTTGTCTCAATTGAGAAATATTCCATTGAGACAAGGCACAATTCAGAATTAATTTTTTTTTTGCATTTTCATACAGTAATTAAAATATTAAATTTAATAAGAAAATTAAATTTTTTTATCTTAAAAATAATATATTAAAATTTCTGTTTGCAATCTGATTTTTTTTCGCAAAAAAAAAAATAAATAAATAAAGATATTTCCCATAAATTTTGTAATTAAAAAAATGGTTTTATTTTATTTTTGTTACAGAAACGAACAGCAGAAATAACTGTGGACAATTCCGACCAGAATGCTGTGTATATCCGGATATCCGGTAAGTGTATATTTTTACCTATATATAAATAAATATAAATATATATATTTATTTTTATTGTTCCAAAAATTCAAATTTTCTCATGACATTTAAATACAATGATACATCAAAAAAAAAAAAAAAAAAGAGAAGAAAGATGATGAAATATTTTTTTAATTGAATTGTTGAAGAAAAAAAAACAAAAAATTAAATTCACATCTTTTTTTTTTGTCATTTTACTTGAGAGATTTGAAAAAATGTACCTCGTAAATAATATAAAAGAGAAAACATTTCCGTGGTTTATTTTTAAACGAGAAATATTTCTTTCTTTTCATTTATATTTGCGCGCCAACTTTCCTGTCGACGCACTCTTTATCAAAAAAAAAAAAAAAAAAAAAAAAAATGAAAAAAAAAAATAAATTTGCTACGAGTACAAAATTTTGGATAAGAAAAAATGAATAATAGTTTTTTTTTTTTTGAAAAGAAATAGTTAATTATATTACACGCGAGGATAAAAAAAATTAATGGCGAATGAAGTCTCTATCTATTTTTTTTTCGTGCACATTTGTCATAATGAGGAGCTGAAACGTTAGATCTGATACTTATTTTTCATTTCTTTTTTTTTTTTTTTTTTTTTTTTTTGCTATCAAAATGTGGGCGTACTTATTATTTACAGTTCCAAAGAAAGCTATTTATTTGCTTGTGAAAAATTCACAATTCGGAGGATTGAGTAGTTTTTTTTAAAATTATTTTTTTTTGTCTCAATGGAATATTTCTTGCTGGAAATTGTTTATTTAATATTTATTCAAAAATTAGAATGGTCACTGTGTAATATTTTGTAAAAAAATACATGTCTCAATGGAATATTCCATGAGAAAGACTTGTCTCAATGGAGTATTTCATCGTTGAGACTTGTCTCAATGGAATATATCATCAAAAAACTTGTCTCAATGGAGTATTTCATCGTTGAGACTTGTCTAAACGGAATATTTTATCAATAAAACTTGTCTCAATGGAATATTCCGTGAACGTTAAATGTCACAACGGAATATTTTATTAATTAAATTTGTCTCAATGGAATATTTCATCAAAACTTGTCTCAATAGAATATTCTATGAGAGAGAATTATCTCAACGGAATATTTTATTCTTGATTTTTGTCTCAACGGAATATTCCACAAATAAAGTTTGTCTCAACAGAATATTTTACTAATACTTGTCTTAATGGAATATTCAACCAGTGAGACTCGTATCAATGGAATATTTAATTATTGAGTCTTGTCTCAATGGAATATTTCAAATACGTGATATTGAAATATTTCATAAATAAATTTGTCTCAACGGAATATTTCATTAAAACTTGTCTCAATAGAATATTCTATGAGAGAGAATTATCTCAACGGAATATTTTATTCTTGATTTTTGTCTCAATGGGATATTCCACCAATGAGACTATTTTTAATGAAATATTTCATAATTTGCCAGATTGTAATATTGTATCATTGAGACTTGTCTCAACGGAATATTTTATCAATAAAATTTGTCTTAATAGAATATTCCAAGGACGTTAAATGTCACAACGGAATATTTTATCAATAAAATTTTTGTCTCAATGAAATATTTCATAAATAAATTTTGTCTTAATGGAATATTTCGTCTTAATGGAATATTCTACCAGTGAGACTTGTCTCAATGGAATTTCATTGTCAATTAAATGTGTCTCAATGGAATATTCCAAAGTCGTGATATTGAAATATTCCATAAATAAATTTGTCTCAACGGAATATTCGATCAATGAAACATTGTCTCAATTGAATATTCCACCAATGAGACTTGTCTCAACGGAATATTTCATTTGAGTCTTGTCTCAATAGAATATTCCATAAATTAAATATGGAATATTTTATCAATAAAATTTTTGTCTCAATGGAACATTCCAAGGAAGTTAAATATCTCAACGGAATATTTTATCAATAAAATTTTTGTCTCAATGAAATATTCCATAAATAAAACTTGTCTCAACGAAATATTCCATCAATAAAATATGTCTCAATGGAATATTCCACTAATGAGACACTCTCAATTAATAAGTTTTAAAAATTCTGCTTAATATAAATTTTTTTTTATAATTTTTTTTTAATTATATACGTATATATGTCTATTATGTTTATACTGTATATATAATATATAAAAATAGAAATAACATTCTAAATATAAACATATGCGTTAACGTTTGTGACACGTTGTATTGTATGCAAATTGAAAACGGTGAAAATAAATTGTATACATATATACATATATATATATATATATGGAAATAATAGAAAAAAGAGAATATGATAATGAAAGGTGGTTTGATTGTTTATGTCGGTCACAGATCCAAGTAGATCGTGAAAGAAAAAACAAGAGAGAGAGAGAGAGAGAGAATATTGGGTGTAAAATACATTATAAAGATTCGTTTGTAATAGATATACAAACATACACATAAAGATATGATAGTAACACATGTGTGTATTGACTTGAGCTTCATATGGCAATGGCCTCGTTAATATTTAACGAGACACGTAAGTCACGTTTCGCTTGAAAACGAAGCTCAGATACGAACTAAATGAGCTCGCTTTGGGATTCGTTTATCTCGCCACTGGCTTTATCGATCAATTGCCCTTCCTTCTACTTTTTTTTCCGCAAGCTACTTACACTTATATATATATATATATCTTTCTCTCTCACTCACTCTTTCACTCAATACATGTACCTACTCACCTGGCTTAGCTATCATTTTTTTCCCTTTTTTAAAAAAAACTGCCACAATTTTAAAGCAATTTTTAAAAAATTTTTTTCTTACTTTTATTGATTTTTTTTGAGCTATTTTTCACTAAATTACAATATTAAAAAAGAGATTTTCGTGAAAAATTAAAAAAATTTACTTTATCGACTGTTGATATGACAGAAATCGACATTATCGACTGTTGGATTAATGGAAATTTTCTTTATCGACTATTGGTGCGACAAAAATCTATATTACCGACTATCGGTATAGTAGAAGTCTGTATTGACAACTTTTAATATGACAGGAATTGATATTACCGACTGCTGATATGACCAATAGTTGGTTTACTGGAAATTTTTCTTTACCGACTGTTGACGCGACAGAAATCTAAATTGTCGACTGTTGGTATAATTGACATCTGCATTACCGACTGGTGATATGATAGAAATCGATATTACCGACTGTTAGATTAATGAAAATTTCTTTTACCGACTGTTGGTGCGACAGAAATCTATATAATCGACTATCAGTATAATAGAAGTCTGTATTGCCAACCTTTGAAATGACAGGAATCGATATTACCTACTGCTGATATGACAGAAATCGATATTACCGACTGTTGGTTTAACGGGAATTTGTTTTATCGACTGTTAGTTTGTCAGGAACCTATGTTACCGACTGTTTGTATAATTAAAATCTGCATTACCGACCGTTGGTGGCAGAATTCGATATTACCGACTGTTGGTTTAATTGCAATCTGCTTTACCTAACTTCGATGTAACATGAACCGCTATTATTGACTTTTAATTGAAAAGAAATTTTCTCTGTCGACTGTTGCTGTGACAAAAATCTTGAATACCGACTGTTGGTATAGTAGAAATCTCTATTTCCAACCGTCGGTAATATATATATGCTTTTTCTTTTTAATTATACCTGTATTAATGTAGAATATCGTTAATATTTACAGAAGCAGAAACAGTTGCAGCGTCAGATGCATCGCCAACAACGCCTTCAATCGAAAAATCGACGCAAGACGAAACCGATTCAATATTTCGACGATTGTCAAATGAGAGTCGTAGTCTTTTGGAAAATTTAAATGTCTCCAAAGATCGACCAAGACATGCTGGTCGTTTTCTCACAATGCACAAAAGACGACGTAAACGTTTAATTACCAAATCGTTAAATCAGGATTCTGGCATTCTTGATGACATTTTTCATGGACAAGTTGCTGTAAGTTTCAATATTAATTACTAAGCAAAAAAAATTTTTTAAATTATTTTTTAATTAGATTATTTTTTGTATTTAACGTACTGCTAATAGGGTAGAAATCTGTAATGGTAATTTGTGTAATTGTTTTAGTATATTTAATTAAATTGTGGAATTAAAATTACCGACTATCGGTATGGTAGAAATCTGTATTATCAACCGTCGGTAAGGTAGAAATCTATGTTACCGACTGTTTGGTATGGTCGAAATCTGTATTGCTGACATTCGATAAGGTAGAAATATACGTTACCGATTGTCGATATGGTAGAAACCTGTATTATCGACAGTCGGTAATGTAGAAATTTATATTATCGATTGTCGATAAATATAGTTATTTGTTTTAATATATTAATTGTTAATTGAAAAGAAACCTACATTACCCACTGTTGGTATAGTGAAAAAACAATGTTACCAACCGTCGGTAAATAGGGTAATTCTTTTTTAACTGTAATTAAAATAAAATTTCTGTTTACAAAATTTTAATAACAGAAAAGAAAGAGAGAACATATTAAGGAGTCATTAATTAAACAAAAACTAATCAATTGTAATAAATTTTGTATAATAATTATTCTTACATGTTTCAATTAGTTTTTCTAATAATGCATAAAAAAATGATTCTTACGTGAGAAAATTAAAATAATAATTCTTACACTCTAATGAGGAATATGTCTTTCATGATAAAATCAACTGTTCATTGCTCCCTCCCCCTCCCCTCTTACTTTCAAGCACGTTGTAAAATTGTGACTTTAAATTACTCTCTTATCTTTATTTTATTGCAGTGCGTTCTACAAAGAGCAGGAAACTGGCGGTTCAATGCATTCACATTGGAAACTGTCACAGGAGGTAGGAAAATTTTATTATTATTTTTTGAAAAATTTATTAAATAAAAATTTCATTTTAGGTTTTTTTAAATGTTTCTTCTAGTATGATAAAAAGTTCCTCTATTACTACAATTTTTACTATTTTTTTTATTGTAATTATTATAGTAAATAAATTTTTGATAAATAATTCTTTAAATTATTAAAGTAAGGATAAATTTTTTTTTACTGATTGTTGATTTGTTTAAAAATTTGCATTACCGACGACTATTGTAGAAATCTGCATTTTTACTGTTGGTACAATAGAAATCTGTATTACCGACGGCTGGTACTGTAGAAATCTGCATTGCCTACGATTGGTATGTTAGAAATCTGTATTACCTACAATTGGTATAATAGAAATCTGTATTACCGACGACTGGTACTGTGGAAGTCTGCATTGCCTAACAATTGATATGATAGAATTCTGTATTACCGACGACTGGTATTCTAGAATTCTACATTGCCTACGATTGGTATGTTAGAAATCTGTATTACCTACAATTGGTATAATAGAAATCTGTATTACCGACGGCTGGTACTGTGGAAGTCTGCATTGCCTACGATTGGTATGTTAGAAATCTGTATTACCTACAATTGGTATAATAGAAATCTGTATTACCGACGGCTGGTACTGTGGAAGTCTGCATTGCCTACGATTGGTATGTTAGAAATCTGTATTACCTACAATTGGTATAATAGAAATCTGTATTACCGACGGCTGGTACTGTGGAAGTCTGCATTGCCTAACAATTGATATGATAGAATTCTGTATTACCGACGATTGGTATTCTAGAATTCTACATTGCCTACGATTGGTATGTTAGAAATCTGTATTACCTACAATTGGTATAATAGAAATCTGTATTACCGACGGCTGGTACTGTGGAAGTCTGCATTGTCTACAGTTGGCATAGTAGAAATCTGTATTATCGATTATCGGTAATGTATTTTTTTTTTTAATTATTTCTTTTATTGGAATTTTTTTTTCTTTTTTTTCATCAATTGCCATGGAAATTATTAAAAATTATTAATTACTAAAAATGAATAATAAATTTTGGAAAATTTAATAAATAAATAAAATTTTTTGCATAATTTTTTTTTCATGTTAATTTTCTTTTTTTTATATTTTCAATTATTGTTATTTTTTATTATTAAAAAGAACTATTTTTGCGTATAAATAAAATGAAATTACATTTAACCATATGTGTTTATAATTTTTTTTTTATAAAAAAAAATTAATTATTTTGTTGTTATTATTCTCTTGTACAGGTCGTTCTTTGCCAGTGTTGTGTGTTCATCTTTTTCATTGGTACGGACTTTTTCAACACTTCAACTTGGACGTTGTCAGAGTGTGGAAGCTGTTCAGTGAGTATTAATTAGCATAAGTGGTAGACAGAGTGGTCCATTTGAGAATATAAATAGACTTATATTCTCGACCTCACATTTATATATATATATATATATATATATATATATATGTTTACGAATTGCTTTCTAAAAACGTTTTGATGCGATTAATTTGTATTGAAAGAAAAAAAAATTTAAAAAAAATTGAAAAGGAGGGAGAAGAACAATATATTTTTCAATTTAATAGTGACGCAATTTTATTTTTAATTTTTTTTTTGTCACAGATGATAAAATATAGAAGAGAAAAATTTTTGTTGTCTTTTTCCAATTCTAACAATATTCTTATTTTTTCTTAATAATAATAATAATAATAATAATAATTACTATAATTATTATATTTTATTATTATTATTATTATTATTATTATTAATTTTTTTATTATTATTATTTTAATTTTTATTATTATTATTGATCATATAAAAACTAAAAATAAATTTATCACAATATTATTATAATAATTTAGTTTTGCATTTTTATGCAATCGCAACCTTATGAACTATTAACTTTTATCAAGTACTTTTCATCTTACAAACAAGACGGAATGATGATTGTTATTTATTTTAAATGATACGCAAAATTTTTTTTTCTTTTTTGTAAATTGAATGCAAATAATGTAATTTTTTTTTATTATTAACTATTACTCTTTTTTTTCAAACATTTATTTTTCAAAGAATTTAGTAAATAATTTTTTTTATAGAATTTACAAAATAAAAAAATTTTTATAAATTTTTTCTGTCTGTATTGAAATATTTCTAATTATAAAGATTAAAAAATGAATTACTAAACAAAAATAAAGAAGAAATAACAATAATTCTGTTTTATCGACTGTTGGTACATTAGGGTCCTTTAGTCGGTATTGTAGGAATTTTTTATGTTCATTGTCGGTATTATAGAAATCTGAATTATCGCTTGACGTTAAATAATATGAAAAAACGTTTTTGTTTTAATATAAAAACTAGAATTTCATAAATAAATAAATAAATTCCCTAGTTAAAAAATAAATTAATAAAAATACTGAAAAAAATAAATTAATAAAAATACTGAAAAAAATAAATTAATAAAAATACTTAAAAAAAATATTAATAACTTTTTTTTTATTTATTATTAATTAAAAATATTTTTTCTTTTCATTTTACTTTAGGTTTAATAGAGGAAGGTTATCACAGTACAAATCCATACCATAACAGTATACACGCGACGGATGTGACGCAAGCGATGCATTGCTTCCTGCAAGAAGAAAAGGTAAATTATGAGAAAAAAAAAATTTTTTTTTCATTTTAAATTTATCATAATTTTCCAAAAGAATCTTAGTTATTTTTCAGCATTTTTTTTTTTAAATTAAAATTTAAAAAAATAATAATAGCAAATATTTTTTGTTATACTTTCCAATTATGAAAGAAAACAACATTTTTTTTTGTTTTTTATTAAAAAAAAATAATAATAAAACTTGGGAAAAAAATTTAATGAGAAATAAGGTAACAGTAAAGAGAAAGAGAGAAAGAGAGAGAGAGAGAGAGAAAAAAAAATAAAATGGATTTTTTTTTCTCTCGTAGATAAAGGCACACTTGAGTGACCTGGAAATAATGGCGTCTCTAATCGCTGCCGTGACCCACGACCTCGATCATCCGGGGGTCAATCAGCCCTTTTTGGTCGCTACTAGCAATCATCTGGCAGCCCTCTATGAGGTAAATTTTTAGCTTCTTTTTTTCTTTTTTCAAAAATTTAAGAAAAAATACTAAAAATGCATTTTTTAAAAGAAAATTCTATTTAAAAAAAAAATTGAATTACATAAAAAAAGCTTACCACTATTTTACGAAAAAAAATTAATTAATTATTTTTTTTATATTAATATCATTTTTATTATAATTATTAATAGCCTTCGTTTTATTATTATTATTATTATTATTATTACAATTATAATTAATATAAAACTGTTTGAATTGTAATTTCTAACAATTTTCCCCTTTTCTAAATTAAGATTAATTTTACCGACTGCTGATACAATAGAAATCTACATTACCGACTGCTAAAATAGTAGAAATCTATTTTACTAGCAGTCGGTAAAATTAATCTTAAATGTCACAGATTAAATTATAGCAAAAAATGAAAATAATTTTCCTTTTTTTAAATTGAGATTAACTTTACCGACTGCTGATACAATAGAAATCTACATTACCGACTGCTGAAATAGTAGAAATCTATTTTACCAGCAGTTGGTAAATTTAATCTTAAATATCACAGATTAAATTACAGCAAAAAATGATAATAATTTTTCCTTTTTTAAATTGAGATTAACTTTACCGACTGTTGATACAATGGAAATCTACATTACCGACTGCTGAAATAGTAGAAATCTATTTTACTAGCAGTCGGTACAATTAATCTTAAATATTACAGATTAAATTACAGCAAAAGATGTTAATAATTTTTACTTTTTTAAATTGAGATTATCTTTACCGACTGCTGATACACAAGAAATCTCTTTTACCGACTGCTGGAATAGTAAGAAACTGCTGTATAATAGCAGTCGGTAAAAATTAATCTTAAATGACATAGAAGTAATTACGTAAAAAAAGCTTACCACTAATTCACTACTAAAATTATTTAATTATTAGCATTGTTATAATAATAATAAGTATTATTATTATTATTATCATAATTATTATTATAAAAATGTATTTTAATGGTATTTTCTAACAATTTTTTCCCTCATAAATTTACATTTAACTTTTAACGACTGTTGATGCAGTGGAAATCTACATTACCGACCGCTGGAAAAGTTGCGAACTGTTTTACCAGCAGTTGGTATAATTAATCTAAACGAACAAAAATAGAATAATAATTATAAAAAAATTATAAAAAACAAAAATAATTATTTTATTCTATCGCTAATAGGATAAAGGTCCGTATTACCGATTGTCAATGTAGTAGAAATCTGCATTACCGACGGTCGGTAAATGAATTGGTAAATTTTTTTTTTAATTATTATTAAAAATTTTTTATCGTGGGTAAAACGAAATGCTTTAAAAGTGAATTAACTTTTTTTTTTAAAAAATAATTTTTACATTTAAATTTTATATTTTTGTTGAATTTCTTTTTTTTTCAATAAATGTAGTGAACAAAAAACATTTTTTTGAAAAAATTTTTTTTCTTTTTTTTCTTTTTTTGTAGAACACTTCAGTTTTGGAGAATCATCATTGGAGGTCAGCAATTGGCTGTCTTTTGGAAAGTGGCGTTTTGGAACAATTGCCAAATGAAATTAGGCCAGAATTACAGCAACATATTAGTTCCTTAATTCTCGCCACTGATATAACGAGGCAGCAAGAGTTTTTAACACGTTTTAAGGTATTTGACACATTTGCAAATTTCTGACAAAAAAAATTAAAATTAATTAAAAATTTTAATTAAATAAAAAACAAATTACGAAATTTTTTCAAATTAAATTAAGAAATTATTTTTCAAATTAAATTAAGAAATTATTTTTCAAATTAAAAAAATTTTTTTAAATTTTTTTTTAAATTCAAATAATTTTTTTTAAATTTTGGATTCTTTTTAATTAAAATATTTAAAAAACAAAAAATTCAAAATAATTTTAGTTATTTTGAATTTTGTTTTTTTACGTATTTTTTTTTATTAACATAATTATTTTTATCTTTTTTTCATTTATATAATTTTTTTTCAGTTTTTTAATTTTTTTTTAATTAAAATAATTATTAAAAAAAAATTTTTTTAAATTAAAATATGTTTTTTTATTTCTTTTTTAATAAAAAATTTTAATTTTGTTTTTTTTTTGCAAATTAAAATAATTATTTTCAATTTTTTTTTTCAAATTAAAATAATTATTTCCATTTTGTTTTGTTTTTTTGCAAATTAAAATAATTTTCAATTTTTTTTTTTGAAATTAAAATAATTATTTGTTAATTTTGTATTTTTTTTTTCAAATTAAAACAAAAAAAAAATTATTTTTTTTTCTTTTTGCATTTAAGAATTATCTTGATGGCAATTTATTGGACATGAAACGTGGTGAGGATCGTCATTTTATATTACAAATTGCATTAAAATGCGCGGACATATCGAATCCATGCAGGCCATGGGATATATCGAGAAAATGGTCATATAAAGTTTGTGAAGAATTCTTTCGTCAAGGCGATTACGAGAGACAATTAAATTTACCAGTGACGCCATTATGCGATCGTCAAAGTACAAGTATTCCAAAAATTCAGGTTGGCTTTTTTAAATTTGTCGTTGCACCACTTTATGAAGAATGGCACAGATTCCTTGGCGATGGACTAAGCGATTCATTAATGAATTATCTTCGTGGCAATCAAAAGAGGTGAAAAAAAACAAAAATTTATTTATTTTTTTCAAATTTTTGTCTTTTTAAATTTTAATAAAAAATAATTTTACTTAATTTTTGTAATTTCGAACAAAATTTCGACGTTTTGAAAAAAATTCTTAAAAATTATAAATAAAATTTTTTTGGAATAAAATTCAGTGAATTGGAATTTTTTCAGTGAATTGGACTTACGTGGCTTACTAAAGTTAATGAAACTTACGTAAAGTTACGTTAACTTACGTGGCTTACTAAAGTTAAGTTAACTTACGTAAAGTTAGTTAACTTACGTGGATTACGTAAAGTTGCGTTGACTTACGTGAATTACGTAAAGTTACGTTGATTTACGCAAATTACGTAAAGTTACGTTGATTTACGCGAATTACGTAAAGTTACGTTGATTTACGTGAATTACGTAAAGTTACGTTGGCTTACGTGAATTACGTAAAGTTACGTTGATTTACATGAATTACGTAAAGTTACGTTGGCTTACGTGAATTACGTAATGTTACGTTGACTTACGTGAATTACGTAAAGTTACGTTAACTTACGTGAATTACGCTAATTTTTTTGGAATAAAATTCAGTGAATTGGAATTTTTTTTGGAAAATTTAATTCAAAAGAAATAAAAAAAAATAAAATTTACTTTACCATTTTTTTTTTCAGATGGGAAACAATGATTCAACAAGAAAATGCCGAGGAGGTAAGAACAGAAGTCTCTGAACTCGAGGAGGAAAGAGAGATAAGCTCCGAGGAAGAGACGGCACTTGACGACGATTCGGGTAGTATTGATTTTGCCCTCGGTTCATCAGCCGCTATTGTGGGACATCAACAATTGTCGTCGATAATACGACGTCCTAGTTTACCGATTAAAACTGAATTACAACGCGCCGGTCGTCGACATTCAGTGCCAATTAGTTGTGTAAAATCATTAATACCAACGGTACGCGTTAATGTACGTCGTGAAAGTTTACCAAACGATAATAATAATGTGAAATTAAAAAATCCACATCTACTATTAAAACATGACGATCAATCGGCACGTACTGGTCGTAGTTCAAATTTATCATTATTCTCATCGAAAAGTAGTTTATTGGGTAATAATTCATCGGGTAATTCAAATAATGCCGAGAGACCGGTGAGCGCTGAAAATTTATTACCCGAACCAAGTATCGCAAGTATTACAAATAGTACTGAGGCATCGCGTCTTAGTTCTGTTTTACAGCCTGATAATCATCCAAGACCACAGCAAAAACAATTGACACGACAACAGACATTCCCACCTCTGCAGCCGTACGTTCGAATGAGGTAAATTTTCAAAAAAAAAAAAAATCTGCTTATTTATTTTTACCGACTGTAGATAAAGTGGAGATCTGCAATACCGACTGTCGATATGGTAGCGATCTTTATAATCAGTAGTCGGTATATAAACGGTGTAAATTCAAATGCAAGATTTTTATTTTACCTGAGTTTTTGGTAATGAAAAAAAAAATCTGCATTACCGACTGCTGATACAGTAGATGCCTGTATTATCGTTAGTCGGTATATTACATAAAATAAATTATTTAATTCTTACCAAAACTTGAAAAAGTGTAAATTTGCCATACCGATTGCAGATACAGTAGGAATCTACATTATCGACAGTCGGTATATTATTTAGTTTCGAAAATCGTCTATACTGACCTGCCGATATGATAGGAATCTGCAATATCAATATAGTCGGTACATTGCATAAAATAAATTATTTGATTCTTTCCTGTACTTGTTAAAGTAAAAATCTGTATTACAGTAGATGTCTGTATTATCGTCAGTCGGTTTATTGTCTACAATATATTATTTTTCTGTGGAAATCTGCAATACCGACTGTCGAAATTTTACAGATTTTTATAATCAACAATCAATGTATATACGTTCTGAAATCAAATATTCGATTTCAATTTTACCTAAGTGTGGTAATGAAGAAATCTACATTACCGACTGCTGATATAGTAGACGTCTGTATTTATCAACAGTCGGTATATTGCATAAAGTACATTATTTGATTTTTACCGACGCTTGATAAAGTAGAAGTCTGTCATACCGACTGCAGATATTGTAGGGATCCGTATTATCCACAGTCGGTATATTGCATAAAGTACATTATTTGATTTTTAACGACGCTTGATATAATAGAAGTCTGTCATACCGACTGCAGATATTGTAGGGATCTGTATTATCGACAGTCGGTATATTAGCCAAAAGTATATACAATTTTTGTTTTTATAAAATTTTTTTTATCATTCCTTAGGTATATGTCAACAACAGCGGAAATGAGTCAATGTTGCGAAATTCTCATGGAAGCTGACAGTCCCTCGTCTTCCTCGCCAAGTCCAACGAAAGAAAAAGCAAATGATGATGATGATGATAATAAAGTTTCAAAGACTGTAGACAAATTAGAAAATGATGGAAAAGAAGTTAAAGAAGAAGAAGAAGAAATAGAAGAAGTAATAAATATAAAAATAATAGAAACATGTACAGATGGTCAATGTGGTACTCCACTTAATGAAGTTGTTGAATCCAAAGATGATAATGATGATGATGATGATAATGATTGTTGTCCTAAAATGTCGGAAATTGATGACAATTTCATTAGTAATATTGAATCAAGAAGACGCGCATCGGCTGTATTTGAAACACACACAAAGACAAACGTTGATTATCAACGACGTCATTCAATGCAAATATTAAGAACCGATGATACAACAAATAATCGTCATCGTAGTAATCGTCGGCCATCATCGGCACAAGATTTAAATCCCACACAAATGTTGTATGCATCAACGGCAGGTTCAAGGTAATGTTAAAAAAATTATATATAAATTTGAATTTTTATTTTAAATTTACATGGAATAATTTAATTTTACCTTAACTTTTAAATTAGCGTGATTTACATAGAGTTACGTTAATTTACACCTAATTACGAAATTTACCAAAATTTACACTGACTTTCATAAATTTACGTTAACTTGCATCAATTTACCAGCTTTTACCTAAAATTACTCCGATTTACGTAGCGCTACGTTTACTTAAACTTAACAGTTTTAACTAAAATTTACAATGACTTACGTTAACTTACGTCTATTTACGAGTATTACGTAAAAATTACTATGACTTACAAAGAGTTAATTAAGTAACATCTAGTTGCCAGTTTTACCTACAGTTAACGTGATTTACGAGAGGTTATGATTACCAGTTTGTTACCTTAATTAACTGTGACTTACGTTAATTTAACTGTAGTTACGAGTTAAACATAAAATTACAGTGATTTACACAGAGTAACGTCAATTTACATCTTTTTACCAGTTATTATCTTAAGTTACCGTGATTTACATAGAGTTACGTTTACGTTTGTTTATCAGTTGTTACCTAAATTTACCGTGGCTTACGTTTTCTCGCGTGACTTAAGTTACCTTACATCTATTTACGTGATTTTCCTAAAATTATCAGTTTTTACATAAAGTAAGGTTAATTTACATTTATTTACCAATTTATACCTAGAATTGCCGTTATATGAGTAGAGTTACGTTTGCTTAAGTTTAACTACTTTAACGTAAATGTAGAGTGACTTATCTTATCTAACATCTATTTACGAATATTATGGAAAATTACCGTGACTCACTTGTTATGTTTACTTACGTAACTTACGTTAACTTACGTGATTTACGTAAAGTTACGTTAACTTACGCGATTTACGTAAAGTTACGTTAACTTACGTAGGACACGCTAACTTATATGGCTTACGTAAAGTTACGTGAACTTAATTTAACTTCGTAAACTTAAGTTGACTTACGTGACTTACGTGACTTACGTTATCTTAAAACTATTTACGAGATTTACTTAAAATTATAATTATTTTAATAGATTTTTGATAAGTTGCATCTATTCAACCGTTTTTACCTACGTTTACTTAGACTTACACAGAGTTACGTTAGCTTACAAGTATTTACTACTTTTACCTAAAATTACCATGATTTACGTAAAGTTACGTTAACTTACGTGAATTACGCTAACTTACGCTAAGTTACGTCAGTATACGTAAACTTACGTGGCTTACGTAAAGTTACGTTAACTTACGTGAATTACGCTAACTTACGTAAAGTAACGTTAATATACGTAAACTTACGTGGCTTACGTAAAGTTACATTAACTTACCTGAATTACGCTAACTTACGTAAAGTTACGTTAATATACGTAAACTTACGTGGCTTACGTAAAGTTACGTTAATGTACGTAAACTTACGTGGCTTACGTAAAGTTACGTTGATTTACATCTATTTACGAGATTTTACTTTTTGTGTCTAGAACGCAAATAATGTCGGATATATCCGATTTACAACGACCTGACTCAAGATCGGCGCAAGATACAAAATCAAGTTGTGAAATATCAATAAGCGAAGATATGAGAACATTTTCAACATCAACAAAATCTGAACGCTATGGAGTATTACAGGATGCGAGAATAAAATGGGTTGAATCAGAGCCGCGACGTTATTCAACGCCTGTCGCTGAATCGTCTAGTGGTAAAAAACCATTGGCAAATTGTGGTGGACGACGTTTTACAGCAATTCCAGTGACAACGGAAATTGGTGTTTCACATAAAGTATTTTTCATTGGTAGTCCACCGGATTCACCGCCACGTGTCAAAAGTGTTTCATCGTCGACAAGCGATAGTGGTAGTGGCAGTGGAGGCGGTGGTGGTGGTGGTGGTGGTGGTAGTGATCCACAACGACGTAGTATTGGTGGCTCGAGTAGTGATAGTGTGTCAATTGGCAGTAAACGTGATTCAGATACAACACGCGATAAGTCAATGACAAATAAAATACCAAAATTGAGTCTCGATTCACAAATGAAGGAGAATGTTGATCCACGTGAGGAGACATCATCGAAATCACATGGTCGACGTAGCAGTCAAGTAAGTTTTTTTTCTTTACATTCACTTGGTTTTTTTTTAATTTGTGCCTTAATTACAAAAAACTAGTTTTTACCGACTGCTGTAAAGGTAGAAATCTGCATTATCGATTGCCACTATGGTAGGGAATTGTATTTTGAAATTATTGCCTAAAATTTACTCTATATTGTTTTTACCGACTGCTGTAAATGTAGAAACCTGCATTACCGATTGCCACTATGGTGGGGAATTGTATTTTAAAATTATTGCCAAAAATTTACTCTATTCCTTTTTTACCGACTGCTGTAAAGATAGAAAACTACATTACCGGTTGTCACTATGATAGGAATTTGTATTTTTAAATTGTTGCCTAAAATTTATTGTATTTTGTTTTTATCTACTTTTGGAAAGGTAGAAATCTGCATTACCGATTGTTAATACATTAGAGAGGTGTATTATTGATTAATTGACAAATTTTAATTTATCATTTGTTTTTACCAACTGCTGTAAAGGCAGAAACCTGCATTACCGATTGTCACTACAGTAGGGATTTATATTATTAAATAATTGACTAAAATTTAATTTATCTTGTTTTTACCAACTGTTGGGAAAGTAGAAAACTACATTACCAAATGCCAATATAATAGAGACCTGTATTAACGATCATTACTATATATTTATTGTCTAATATCCAAATTTATTAATTTCTTTTTACCGTCTGTTGATGAAAATTTTTTTTTTTTTAATCAGGGATTGTCGAGAAGAAGGGGATCTGCACCAGTGGGCCTAATGTCAAGACTCGATGATATTTCAACGTCATCGGTGTCGGCAATTGGCGAACAATATTCAAGACGTGGTTCCGTACCAATGGATATTTCTTGGCAGCAAAGTAAGTTAACAAGCAATAAAAAAAAGAACAAAAAAATTGCGGTGAATTAAAGAAATTAAAAAAAAAACTTAAAAAACAAATAATTAAAAAAAAGTTTTTTAATTTAACATTATAAATATATATATTTAAAAAAGGCAATTTTTTTTATATATGTAGATGGATCGACAAATAGATCAGCATTGGGTCCTCGTGAAGGAAATCTTCCACCGCCAAGAAGAGCGAGTCTTCCACAGGAAACGAGTCTTGGAAATCTTCTCGGTCACTTTATTCCTAATTCAGGTAAAAAACAAAAAAAATAAATTTATTTTTCTGACAAAATTTTACCTTGCCGACGGTTAATAAGGTAGTAATCTATATTACCGGCAGTTGATATATTAGAAATTTGCATTACCGACTGTAGACAAGGCTTAAAACTACATTATCGTCTGTCGACAAGGTGAAAATCTGAAAATCCCAAATGTTGATGCGGTAAAAATCTACATTATCGACTGCCGATAAGTTAGAAATTTTCAATTTTTACTGTTGGCACGGCAGAAATATACATTACCGACTGTTGGCATGGCAAAAATTTACATTATTAACTGTTGGCAAGGTAAAAATCTGCATTGCCGACTGTTGATGCGATAGTAATCTGCATTATCGACTTTGACAAATTAGAAATCTGTATCTTACTGTTGGCAAGGTAAAAATCTACATTGCCGACTGCTGAGGCGGTAGAAATCTACATTATCGAATGTTGATTCGGTAGAAATCTAAATTATCGACTGTTGACAAATTAGAAATCTGTATTTTTACTGTTGGCAAGGTAGAAATCTACATTACCGACTGTTGGCTTAGCAAAAACTTGTATTACCCACTGTTGGCAAGGTAAATATCTGCATTGCCGACTGTTTGTAAGGTAGAAATCTACATTATCGACTGTTGACAAATTAGAAATCTGTATTTTTACTGTTGGCAAGGTAGAAATCTACATTATCGACTGTTGACAAATTAGAAATCTGTATTTTTACTGTTGGCAAGGTAGAAATCTACATTATCGACTGTTGACAAATTAGAAATCTGTATTTTACTGTTGGCAAGGTAGAAATCTACATTACCGACTGTTGGGTTAGCAAAAAAAATTGCATTACCAACTGTTGGCAAGGTAAAAATCTGCATTACCTACTGTTGATGTGGTAGAAATCTACATCACCGACTGTTGATTCGGTAGAAATATAAATAATCGACTGTTGACAAATTAGAAAACTGTATTTTTGCTGTTGGCAAGGTAGAAATCTACATTACCGACTGTTGGCTTAGCAAAAACTTGTATTACCCACTGTTGGCAAGGTAAAAATCTGCATTGCCGACTGTTTGTAAGGTAGAAATCTGCATTATCGACTGTTGACAAATTAGAAATCTGTATTTTTACTGTTGGCAAGGTAGAAATCTACATTATCGACTGTTGACAAATTAGAAATCTGTATTTTTACTGTTGGCAAGGTAGAAATCTACATTACCGACTAGCAAAAATTTGCATTACCAACTGTTGGCAAGATAAAAATCTGCTTTACCTACTATTGATGTGGTAGAAATCTACATTACCGACTGTTTGATATTTTAGAAATATGTATTACCGACTGTTGATGTTGTAGTAATCTACATTATCGACTGTTGATAAGTTAGATATCTACATTTCCGACTATTGATAGGGTGAAAATTTTTACATTACCGACTGTTGTCTCGAAAATAAATTGTAAAATTTTTCTTCCTTTTTTTTTTGTTACAGAGGAACGCGAAAATTGTTCAATGAACAATAACAATAATAATAATAACAATAACAACAGCTCAAGCAATAATAATATTGGAAATAGATTAAATGAAGGTAATATTGGCGTTGGTGGTGGTCTACTACTTGTACCAGGAATGCCATCACCACGACGTGGTTCTGTACCTGCTGATATATCAGAATTACGTCGCGATCTTTTTGGTCGTAATAGTGTTAATGGAAAATCACGTAATCGAAAAAAAGTATTACGACGAAGAAGTAGCGGTGGACCTGAAATGTTTGCTGGTGGTGGTGGCGTTGGCGTTGGCGTTGGCGATAATGAAAATATTTGGCTCAATAAATCGAGGCGGGACTCGATAAAACGTGATTCAATTCCAGAACCCAATGTTGTCAAGCGGCGTGGATCGCTGCCAATTGATGTCGTTGCTGTTTCACATGTCGGTCGGTACATTCATAGATAGATGAATTTAAAAAAAAAAATAAAATAAAAAAAGCAAAAAAATAAGCGAAAATTAAGCAAATAAAATTAAGCAAATCGTGAAAAATAAAATAAGAACAAAAAATCGTCGAGAGAAACTAAGCTCTCTGAACAAAAAAAAAAAAAAAAAAAGAATACGCGACACAAACAAAATTTTTTTGTTTCTAAAAATAGCACTTTCGCTTCTTTCTTTTTTTTCCGTTTGTCTCTCTCACACGTATACACATAAATATTTTTTTTGCAAAGCACGCTATCAAAGCAAAAAAAAAATTTTTTTAATAATATTGCTTCTCACCAAAAAAAAAAACTCACGCCACAGAAGCCTAACGAACGATCGCTTTTTTGTTCCGATAATTCTTACCTGACGTTCAATAAAAAGAAAAAAAGAAAGTAATTTTTCGCCTCAAAGGAAAAAACATTAATTAAATAATAATAATAATAAAATGAGAAATTAGACATTTTTTTTTTTTTTGGTTTGATTAATCGGATTTTAAAAAGATGAAATCGTTCGTTGGTTATTAAATGGATCTTGAATGGAAAACAAAAACGCCTATCTATGTGTGTGTAAACCAAAAAAAACAGGCTCAGCAGCGGGACTACGAAGATCCAGCCTCTGGAGGCTTTAGCGTTCATTGGATGGACCAGCGGCTATGATAAATCTTATGTCATCAACATCATCATCATCATCATCATCATCATCGACAACGGCAACGATGACGACGATGACAACAACGACAACAATTGCCGGATCTCAATACATTCGACTCATCAACATTGTCTCGTGTCCTAAACTTCAGTTTCAATGATGTTCTCTCTCTTCTATATACAAATAGGTACATATAAAATATATACATATAAATATCTAAAAACAAAAAAAACAAAAAAAAAAACATTTCTAAACGTCTCAATTCTCCGAAATCTACATAATGTAAACATTATTAAATCTCAAGAAAAAAGAAAGAAAGAAAGAAGGAAAAAAAAATAAAATGCGAAAAAAAAATAATTTTGATGATTTAAAAATCGTTATTACAAAAAGAAGAAGAAAGAATGAAAAAAAAATTCTTCGAGGATGCAAATATTGTAATAGAACAGGAAAATATCGTTTTTTGTAGGTTAGATATTTTTTAATTATTAGCTGAAATTTAAATAACGATATGTATCGATAATAAAAAAAAAAGAAAACAATTTTTAATAATGTTATATCGATATTTTATTTCGATGTATTCATCAGTGGTGTGTCGATATTAATGATCGATTTTGAAAATCGATACATCGACTTTTAATATCGATATATCGATATAATCGATATTGGAACATCGATATATCGATTTATAGTATCGATATATCGATTTATAGTATCGATATATCAATTTATAATATCGATATATCGATTTATAGTATCGATATATCAATTTATAGTATCGATATATCGATTTTTAATATCGATGTGTCCATATTTCAAATCGATGTATCGATTATTCAAATAAAAATTTTCATATCGATATACTGATATTTCAGATCGACTAATCGATAATAAATATCGATTTTTTATATCGACTTATCGATATTTTTCATCGAGTGATCGATATAATATCGATTTTTAATAACAATGTATCGATACTTAATCATCGATCTTTAAAATCGATATATTGTTCTATCAACGTCGATAAATCGTGTTTTAATATTTATAAATCGATTATTGAAGTCGATATCTTGATTATTTATATATCGATATTTAAAATCGACATCTCAATTATTTATATCGTATTTAGAAATCGATATTTTATGATCGATTTTATAAAACTATATATCAACATTTGTACATCGATTTTAAAAAACACTATATCGACATTTGTACATCGATATGTCGATAATCAATATCGATTTTAAATATCGACTTTTAATATCGATATATCGATTTTTAGTATCGATATATCGATATTTGGAATCGATATATCGATATTTGGAATCGATGTATCGATATTTGGAATCGATGTATCGATTCTTAATATCGATACTAAAAATCGAATTGAAAAAACGATATATCGACATTTATACGTCGATAATCAATATCGATTCTAAATATCGATTTTAAAGATCGATTCTTAATATCGATGTATCGATTCTTAATATCGATGTATCGATTCTTAATATCGATGTATCGATTCTTAATATCGATGTATCGATTCTTAATATCGATGTATCGATATTTGAAGTCGATGTATCGATTCTTAATATCGATGTATCGATATTTGAAATCGATTATTTATATCGTATTTACATATCGATATTTTAGCGTCGATTTTAAAAAACGATATATCGATATTTGTACATCGATATGTTGATAATCAATATCGATGTATCGATATATATATTTTACGTCGAATGATCGATATTAAATATCGATTATAAACAATTCCATTGCAAAATTTTCTCAAAAAACACAATTGAAAAACTTTGTTCTAAAAAGTGAATTTCTTTTTTTGTTTTAAATTTTGCGCATATTAAAATATTTAATTTTTAAAATCGTCCATTTAGAAATGTGATATAAATTTTTTCTTCTATTTTTTTTTTTTTTTTTGTTTAATGGGGATGGAGGTAAATTTCTTTTTAACAGTCAAATAATTATTAAAAAAAAAAATTTTTTAAACAGTAAAATAATTTTTAAAATATCGTTCTTTTTTTAATAGTGTTTTGTTTTTGGCGTTTTACAAAAAAAAATTTTAAATATCATTTTTTGTTAAACGCTTCAAAAAAAAGAAGAAAAAGTAAAAAATTTTTCGCGCCAAATTAATATTGTGCCATATATTAATATATATATATTTATATAATATATAATATATACATAAGAGAAATTATAATTTCTCGCAATTTTTTTTATTTATGGCTCAAAAAAAAAAACAAGAATTTCATATAATATGAAATTCCTTTTAAGACATAGGGTTTTTATTGTTGATTTTATTCGTTTTTTTTTGTTTTTAATTTTAGAAAAAAAGCGAAAAAAAAATTTTTTTTTTTGAAAAATACCCAACACAAACATAAACATACACGCCTAGGTACGGAGAAGGAGAAAAGACTGGTTTAGAAAAACTCGCGGCTCTAGAGTTAGACATTTTAAAAAGCAGAGAATTGTTGTTTAAAAAAAAAACAAACATTAAAATAAAATAAAAGCACAGTAGTTGAATCGATGTCAAAAAAAAAAAAAAAAATGACGATTTTTGCTCATAGTTAGGAAACAATTTTGAATCTCTTTTTTTTCAATTTTTTGTTATGTCTTTTTTTTTTGCTTATAAAATCTCTTTTTTTTTAATTTTATTTGTATTTTTTTTTTTAATTTCTTTTTTTAATTTTCATTTGTTTCTTTAATTTCTTTTTAAAATTTTTTATTTATTTATTTTTGAATATATGATTTTTAAAATTTTGGTTTTTTTTTTTTTTTTTTTTGGGAAAGTTATTCAAAAATATTATAAATAGGGAATTTTAACAAAAGCTATTGAAGCTGGCTCTATAGTAAAAATATACTCAATTACAGACAAAAGCGCATAAAAAGAAACCGTAGACATTCCTTTGAAGGTGTATAGTTCTTGGATAATAATAATAATAATAATAATAATAATGATGAAATTATTAATAATAAAAATATTAATAATATTAGTAATAATAATAATAATAAAAATTAAAAATAATTATTATTATGAAAAATAACGATTATAATTAACATCAGCACAATATTCATTTTGTCATAATCATCATAATCATCATAATCATCAACATTATTTATCATCGTTGTTGTAATAAGAGAAACTATTTCGAGATGAGTTTTCGCATGTAGATAGTGATTCGACCTCAATATTTTAGATAGAAATCATTCTTTCATGTTAATCTCTTCTATTTATTGTTAATTAGATATCATAAGAATAACGAATTTTTCTGAGAAATATTTTAATATAAATTTTCTGTTTCTTACGTTTCTTTTTTATTTTTTAGTATAAACTGAACATTCAATTTTGGGTAAAGAATTTCTTTTTTTGTTAAATATTATTTTATTTGCAAATCAATATTTTGATTTTTAAAATCGATTTATCGATATCTCTAATATTCATTTCGAATTTTTATATCAATATTTTGAATCGATATCTCGAAAGTTCATATCGAATATTTATATCGATATTTTAAATCGATATCTCGAATGTTCATATCGAATTTTTAAATCGATATCTCGAATGTTGATATCGAATTTTCTTATCGATGTTTGAAATCGATATCGCGGATGTTGATATCGAATTTTTTTATCGATGTTTGAAATCGATATCTCGAATGTTGATATCGAATTTTTTTATCGATGTTTGAAATCGATATCTCGAATGTTCATTTCGAATTTTTATATCAATATTTACATCGATGTATTTATTAACGATGTATCGATATATCGATATTTTAAATCGATATATCGATATTTTAAATCGATACCTCGATTGTTCATATCGAATTTTAAAATCGAAATCTCTAATGTTCATATCGATAATTTAAATCGATATCTCGATTGTTCATATCGAATTTTTTATCGATATTTTAAATCGATATCTCGAATGTTCATATCGAATTTTTATATCGATATTTACATCGATGTATTTATTAACGATGTATCGATATAAAATATCGATTTTTAATAACGATATATCGATATTCAATATCGATATTGTATATCGATATATCGATATTTTAAATCGATACCTCGATTGTTCATATCGAATTTTTAAATCGAAATCTCAAATTTTGATATCGAATTTTTATATCGATATTTTAAATCGATATCTCGAATGTTCATATCGAATTTTTATATCGATATTTACATCGATGTATTTATTAACGATGTATCGATATAAAATATCGATTTTTAATAACGATATATCGATATTCAATATCGATATTGTATATCGATATATCGATATTTTAAATCGATACCTCGATTGTTCATATCGAATTTTTAAATCGAAATCTCAAATTTTGATATCGAATTTTTATATCGATATTTTAAATCGATATCTCGAATGTTCATATCGAATTTTTATATCGATATTTACATCGATGTATTTATTAACGATGTATCGATATAAAATATCGATTTTTAATAACGATATATCGATTTTTAATAACGATATATCGATTTTTAATATCGATATAATTTTAATCAATATTCAGTATCGATATTGTATATCGATATAACGATATTTGAACATAGATTTTTTTTTAAATTTAAATTTTTGTGTTTTGGGGTTTTTTTTTTTTTGAAAAAAAATTGATTTCTCGGTAATTTTAGTTTTTTGTATTTTTTTTGGGTGGGGGGAAATTTTTGTTCATTTTGTCTTTTTTAATAACTGGTTAAATAAGAAACTCTTTCGACTGCCTTTCCTCTCGCTAAAAATAGGAGCGAAAATAAAAAAAAATAAATAAATAAATCCTTCGTCTGTTAAACTGTCCGAAAGTAAAATTAATGTTAACTAGAGAAAACAAAAACTTATACATACTATACTAATATAATTATCAAAAACTATACAATTAACTCGAACTTAATAATTCAATGTCAGTATATAGAATAGCGAATTTTTTTCTTTCTTCGAGAATAAAAAAAAATAAGAGACAAAATTAATTATTACATACTCGATTTTTAACGATTCAGTGTCAAAAACCACAAAATGAAATTCCCTTTTTCAAATATCAAAAATATTTTAGCGAGCAATAATTCTGAAAAAAGAGAATTAAAAAAGAAAAAAAATTTTTTTTTTTGGATAAAAATTCTTTTTTTTCAAATAAATTTTTTTTTAAAACAAAATTACTTTTTTTTAACAAAATAAAAAACATTTTTTTTTATAATACAATTTTCATTTGTGAAAAATTGTTATTTAACATATAGAAAATTGGTCCATATGACAATTTTTTACTTTATGAAATTTGGAAATTTAATAATTTAAATTTCCCGCCTCAAAATCTACTTTACCGACTGAACCTAGATTGGCAAACTCGGGTTGAAAAAAAAAATTCTTACTTTTTCAGAATTATTTTTCTCAAACTATTAAAAATAATAATATTAATAATAATTATTATAATAAAATAATTATACATTATTCAGGGTCCTTAATTGCAAAAACAGACCAACAAAAAAGGGACTAAAAATAAAATATGAAAAATTCAACTATACAAAAAAAAAAAAAAAAAACAATTTTCAATATTCTGAACAAAAAAATAATAAAGAACGAGTTCGCTATAATATAATTATTCTCTATAAAAAATATATACATATATATAATATACATATTACGAACTGAGCACCACTTTTTGATCAATTTAAAAGCACTAATAGATAAATGTCGATTAACAAAAAAAAAGAAAAAATCCTTATTCGCTATACTCTCTATATAGAAAATACAAGAAAAAAGTATGTCTTTAACTCTACGATTGAATCGAATGAGAATTTAATCCTAAAAAGTAATTTTTTTCTTATTACTTTTTTTTACAAAATAACCTGGTGAAAAAAAGTGTTTTCAAATTTTCAAAAAAAAAAGAAAGAAAATTTCAGAGTCTTCCCAATTTAAAAATGTAAATCAAATTTTTTTTTACGTATTGGAAAAAAAATGATAAAAAAAAATTTAGATCATGAAAAAAAAGTAAAATTAGAATTTTGATACTTTTGGTAAAAAAAAAAAAAAATTTAATGCAATTCAAAATAAAATAAAAAAATTTTTCGAAATTTTTTTTTTTTTACATTATTGAGATGATAATGTTTAAATATATCGATTAGTATCAATAATTTTTTTAAAATCGATATATAAATATCGAACTGTCGAGAAACGATCTATCGAAAAGTATCGATTTTATCTTTTTTTTAAAAAAAAAAAATCAATGTAATGTTATAACTACGTGAAATTTATGAATCGAAAAAAATCGATATATTGAATCGATATATAAAAAATCGATATATCGATATCTTTATAATCGATGTATCGAAAATCGATATATTCAATCGATATATCGATATATTTGCAATCGATGTATCGGAAATCGATATACTCAACCGATATATCGATATATTTGCAATCGATGTATCGAAAACCGATATATTCAATCGATATATCGATATATTTGCAATCGATGTATCGAAAATCGATATATTTAATTGATATATTTACAATCGATGTATCGAAAATCGATATATTCAATCGATATATCGATATATTTGCAATCAATGTATCAAAAATCGATATATCGAAACTGTTTGTAATCGATGTCTCGATATTTTTTTTAATCGATATATCGAGAATTTTTTTTTTTTTAAATCGATAGTATCAAACGAATTATAATCGACAGTATCGATATATTTAGAATCGATATATCGAAAAATACAAAATCAAAAATACTATTTTGAAAAGTATCGACTTATAGAATCAATTTTTATCGAAATATCTCATTTTTGTGGCAAAAAATTTAAATATATTTTTTTTTTGTAGCACAATAGAAAGTAAAAAAAAATAGAAAACAGAAATTCATAAATTTTCACCAGGACTTAAAAAAAACAGCAATTTTTACTAGAAATTTTTTTTTTAAAATATCCATTGTCTGCGTTCGTGTGAATGTACCATTATATTTTCCTTTTATCTCAGATTAAAAAAAAAGGAAAAAAAAAGAAATTTCTGCGAAAAAAAATATGTGTCCACAAAAAATATTCGTATTCAAAAAAGCAAAAAAAAAAAAAGAGAAATGAATACAAAGCAAAAAAATTACATGAAAAAATAATATTTAATTATAATTATAATAATAAATAAATAAAAATAATAATATTAATAGGTAATAATAATAATAATAATAATAATAATAATAATAATAATAATAATAATGGCAGTCTGAAAAAAAATTGACTACTAAATATATTTGTAAAAGAAAATTTTTCCCAAAAACACTTTTTTGAAAATGTTTCTTCTTTTACAAAATATATACATATGTATATATATATATATACGTTAACACAAATTGTTTTCAAAAAAAAGACTGGAAAATATTTATTATTTATTTTAAGTAAAATATTGGGATTCTTAACCAAAAGAAAAAAAAAAATTGGCTTTTCAAAAAAAAAAAAGTAAACTGCCAATATGAGAATAACGCAAAAATAGTATTGGTGATGTCAATTATGATAGAAAAAAAAAATTGTTAAAAATTAAAATTAAAAAAAAAAATAAAAGACGGAAAAATAGAAGAAAAAAAAAAAATTATGAAACGCAGGTCTGACGATAAAAAAAACAAAAATCATTGTATATTTTCTATATTATAAAAATAATAATAATAATAATAAAAGTAATAATAATTATAATAATATTAATAATAATTATAATAATATTAATAATAATATTAATAATTAATAATAATTAATAATAATAATAATAATAATAATATTGACTGTAGATAAATCAGTGCGTTTAGCTGCGATTAAACAATGTGTTCTTTATTATTAATTATATTCATAATTGTATAATGCTGCGCGACACGTATAAATTAGAATTAGAAAAAAAAAGAGAGAAAGTGAGAGTAATTTAATTAAAAAAAAAAAAAAGAAAAAAAAACAATAGAGAATGAGAGAGAGAAAAAAAAGAGAAAATGAGAAAAAAATAATGAGAATGAAAGAATGCGAAAAAAAAAAATTTTTGTCTCCTTTCCACTGGGTGGAAAAACTATATATATATATATAAATGTGGCGACTATTTAAATGGCCTATTGCATTCGTTAGTAGTCCACACGACAAAAAAAAAAAAAAAATTTTGAATCTCCCCCTTTTCCTCCCCCCCCCTCATTTCCCCCTCCCCCCCAAATATTGTATAAGATAGTAATTTATTTTCTTCCCTTTTTATTTATTAAAAAAAAAAAAAAAATTTTAATTTAATCGAATTGTAAAACCCATGAGATGATATATATATACCCTTTGTAGAATATACATATATATATAAATATATACATATTATAAATATTATAAATATTATAAATATCACACACACACACACACACGCTGGAAATACGAAATGACGTGTGTTGTAAAACCCGTTTTGTTTATTAAAAAGTATTCGCAAAAATAATAATTATTTGCAAAAATTTTCTTTCTCATTTCTCCCAAAAAAAAACCATTAAAAACAACGGAAATAGTATTTTTTCACAATTATATAGACTTAAATTATTAATTTCTAATTTATTTATAATGTTTTATATTTAATATTTATGAGGAATTTAATAAATTGGAAAAAAAATTTAAATTTCCCGCGCTTCATATAGAGGTATTTATACAATCTGCTTTATCGACTGAACATAGATTGAAAACTCGAGGGAAAAAAAGCAAAATTTAATCAATATTTTTATATGAATACAAAAAGTCGTAAAAAACTTCTATAATAATTTTATTAGTTTGTGGCGTATTGTATAAAGGCCAATGCACAATAGTTTTTTGCGAATGAATTTCATTGTGCGTTGACCTTTTACACTATTCGCCATAAACTAATAAAATTATTATAGTGGTGTCACAACTTTTCAAAATGGTTGGTTTCCATTGTCCCCTCACTCGTCATTTGTCAATAATTCTCAATCAACTACCGCACCCTGCTCTAGTGAAAATTTAGTAACTTTTAATTTTAACAATAAAATTACTAAATTTTTACTAGAGCAGGGTGCGGTAGTTGACCATTTGGACATTTGTCAATAATTCTCGTCAACTACCGCACCCTGCTCTAGTGAAAATTTAGTAACTTTTAATTTTAACAATAAAATCACTAAATTTTTACTAGAGCAGGGTGCGGTAGTTGATGGAGAATTATTCGCAAATGGCAAGTGGGGTTGTGAAAAAAATTGTCCAATTATTTTTTTTTCAATAATGCAGTTATTTTTGTTAATAAAAAAAAATATAGATGTAATTATGATTTTTTATTCTTTTTAATTTTTACAAAATTTTCAGCCTTCACCAAAAAGAATTTTTTTTAATATTATATTCCTATATAATAATAATATTATTATTATTATTATATTCCTATATAATCATATTATTATTATTATATTCCTTATAAAAAGTATTGGAATTAAGGCCAACGCACAGTTGATTCACAAAAAAGAAAGATGCCAATGTCCCCAACTTACCAAAGTTCCCATTTGTCATAATTCTCCATCAACTACTGCACCTTGCTTTAGTAAAAACTTAAATTTTTTTATAAATTAAAAGTTACTATAAATCGCAATCTTTTTTTTTTAGTGAATATTTAGTAACTCTATAGTAACTTTCAATTTTAATCACTAAATTTTCCCCAAGAGCAGGGTGCGGTAGTTGATCGATAATTATGACAAATGGGATCTCGTTAGTGAATCTTATTGTGCGTTGGCCTTTATATAATCCATTATTGCAAAACGCGCGCTCTCTATTGAAAATTTTTCGAACTATTGAAAAGTAAATTTGTCCAAATTTCAACAATCAGATTTTATTTTTAGACAAAGCGGAGAAAACAGGTACTACTGAAATGTGGGATTACAATAATTAAGCTACGCTCACAACAGAGGATCAATTTTTTTTTTTTTTATTTTGAGTGTGACGGCTTGGTTGATTTTTAAACACCAGTTTTCTCTTTGATCCAATCGCGATAGTACGCAGTGCTAGTGAATAGTCCAGGAAATTCTGCACCTGCTTTTTTTGACATACTTACAACACCAATTACCAAATTTTTGCCAGCAACCAATGGACCACCGGAATCTCCCTGAATTTTTAGTGAAAAAAATTTTTTTAATGTAAGTAATTTTATTATTATATTTATTTAAAATAATATTACTAGAATAATATTACTAGAATAATAATACTAGAATAATATTACTAGAATATTACTAGAATATTACTAGAATAATATTACTAGAATATTACTAGAATAATACTAGAATAATAATAATATTACTAGAATAATATTACTAGAATAATACTAGAATAATACTAGAATAATATTACTAGAATAATACTCGAATAATATTACTAGAATATTACTAGAATAATATTACTAGAATATTACTAGAATAATATTACTAGAATAATATTACTAGAATAATATTACTAGAATAATATTACTAGAATAATATTACTAGAATAATATTACTAGAATAATATTACTAGAATAATATTACTAGAATAATATTACTAGAATAATATTACTAGAATAATATTACTAGAATAATATTACTAGAATAATATTACTAGAATAATATTACTAGAATAATATTACTAGAATAATATTACTAGAATAATATTACTAGAATAATATTACTAGAATAATATTACTAGAATAATATTACTAAAATAATAACCTAATTATGAACGCCACTTTATTTTTTTCTTTTTCTATTTTAATGGTACAATTTTTACTTTGACTTTCTGCGCAGACGCAATGAGAGTAAAAGAGACAGAAAGTATTTCTATCTGTTTTACTCTTGTATGTTACCATAGTAACCACTACCTGTCTGTCTACAGAGGTGTGAACGTACCTTTATTTTAAAAAGAAAGAAAAAACAAAATGGCTACAAATAATGTAGATAAATACCACCATAATAATAAAATAGTAATTTAAATTATAAAAATAATAATAACAATAATAATAATAATAATAATAATAATAATACACCCAATTGCATAAATACTATCCTCCCGCTTTGACGGGATTTTGAAAAATCGTGACACATCTATAATAATTTTATTAGTTCATGGCGTATAGTGTAAAGGCCAATGCACAATAGTTTTGCAAACAAATTTTGTTGTGCGTTGACCTTTAAACTATTCGCCACGAACTAATAAAATTTTTATAAAAGTGTAACGACTTTTCAAAATGTCGTCAAACCGGAAGTAGAGCATTTATTCTTTAATAATATTTAGGGTACTGTCACACTGCAGCGTTTCTTGTAGTTGGAGTAAGAGAGACAAATATATTTTCTCCCTCTCTCTCTCTCTTTGTCTCTTTTACTGTAAAGGTGCATTCACATCGCAGTTACTCGAGTAGGATTGTCATGGTAACGTATAAGAGTGAGAGAAATAAAAAACATTCTTTGTCGCTCACACTCTTGTACGTTACCATGACGACCTTCCTCAAGCAACTGAACTGTGAACATAACCCTAACTATAACCAAATAAGTTGCGACAGTACCAATATTAAAATTTAAAAAAAAAACTATATTCTCTCATACCTGGCAAATATTTGATACATTTCCCTTGTGCTCCTTTGGCGTACCGTAGCATAAAACACTTTTTCTGTGTTTAATATCGGGGTACAAATTTTTACAACTACTTTTACTTGCTTTCGTTAAAGTTGCATATAGTAATATTGGATTTGTACTTCCGCCCTTGGTAAATAAAAAAAAATTTCATGTGAGAAATATTTGTAATTTGTCATAATTCTCGTGACAGTTCTATAATAATTTTATTAGTTCATGGCGTATTGTGTAAAAGCCAACGGACAATAGAATTGCTAACGAATTTCATTGTGCATTGACCTTTACACTATTCGCCATGAACTAATAAAAATAATTATAGAAGTGCCACACGACTTTTTCAAAATGATTCCTTTCCATTGCCCCCTCACTCGTCATTTGTCAATAATTCTCAATCAACTACCGCACCCTGCTCTAGTGAAAATTTAGTAACTTTTAATTTTAACACTAAATTTTCACTAGAGCAGGGTGCGGTAGTTGATCGAGAATTATTGACAAATTGTGAGTAGAGATTTTGTCGAGTGCGGACAATAAAAACAAACCGGAAGTACACAACTTACAATTTTTGTACAACCCCAGCCAGCAATTTTAGCTTTATTTGTCGTGGCCATTTGATTTTTTCCCGGTAATTTTGCTGGTTTTGTTAATTCATTAAATTCAAATTCAGGTGTTACTTTAAAAACAGAAATATCATAACCATCCAGTTTTCCTTTACTTTTATCGAGACCAAATTTTTCATGCATATGATATTCAGTGATATTGTAAAATTTTGGCGGTGTTTTATCTTGTGTTATCATTTCTTTAGTGTATGTTGTACCACTGACAACTTGATACATTTCAATTTTTAATTTTTCACCAATACTGCAAGTGAAAAAAAGCAAATTATTATTATTATTAGGCCACTTTTTACAATAGCTAAATTGAATCGTCTTAAAGGTGCTTTCATAATTTGCATTTTCTCTGCATACATACAGTTTGCAAGCTATTGTAGAATCACCTTAAAGATGATGCGCGCGCATTCATTGCCTTTTTGGGTTTCCATTGTCCCCACTCGTAAAAATCCCCATTTGTCATAATTCTCGTCAACTATCGCACCCTGCTCTAGTAAAATTTTTGGTGACTTTCTTGTTAAAATTAAAAGTTACTATAAGTTACTGAAATTTTTACTAGAGCAGGGTGCGGTAGTTGACGAAAATTAACTCACCCTTTTTTATAATTCTCGTCAACTACCGCACCCTGCTCTAGTAAAATTTTAGTGACTTTCTTGTTAAAATTAAAAGTTATTAAAAATTTTACTAGAGCAGGGTGCGGTAGTTGAGAAAAATTAACTGACTATTTGTCATAATTCTCGTCAACTACCGCACCCTGCTCTAGTAAAATTTTAGTAACTTTCTTGTTAAAATTAAAAGTTACTAAAAATTTTACTAGAGCAGGGTGCGGTAGTTGAGGAAAATTAACTCACTATTTGTCATAATTCTCGTCAACTACCGCACCCTGCTCTAGTAAAAATGTGAATTTATTGATAAAATTAAAAGTTACTATAAGTTACTAAATTTTTACTAGAGCAGGGTGCGGTAGTTGATCGAGAATTATGACAAATGGAGATTTTTACAAGTGGGGACAATAGAAATCAACCTTTAATTTATTAAAAAAAAATTGTTATTGATAAAAAAATTATTATTATTATTACTTGTTTATTAGCAAAAATTGAAAGAAAAATAAATATAAATAATAATAATAATAATAATAATAATATTAATAATAATAAAAGTATCCAATAAATATTATTTTATACAGTGGACAAAAAAAAATTCTCCTTCCGGTTTGACGATATTTTGAAAAGTCGTAATACTTCTATAATAATTTTATTAGTTCATGGCGAATAGTGTAAAGGTCAATGCACAACAAAATTCATTTGCAAAACTATTGTGTGCGTTGGCCTTTACACCATACGCCACGAACTAATAAAATTATTATAGAAGGGAAAAATTAAAAAAAAAAATCTTACTCCATAAAACAATGAGACGCTGATACTGCCCATGATTTACTAATTATTGCCGCTCCACACAATGGATGATGATTAATACCATGGAGGCTAATTTCAAGCTAAATAAAAAAAAAGTTTACAATTAATTTATTTTATTTCTTTATTATTTATTTTTATTTTATTAATTTTTTTTATATATTTTCAACTACTTTTTAGATTATATAAAAAAAAATTTTATATGAATTTTATTTTTATATATAAATTTTTTTTTATTATAGAATTAAAAATAAAATCGCTTACCAAAAATGGAAACTTTGAGATATCAGTTTCTGTACCACCGATAATTCTATTTTGACCCAATACTATATTAGATTTTGCTGTATTGAAAATATGGAAAAAATAAAATAATTTATTTTTTTTATTTTATTAATTTTTATTTATATTTTTATTTATTTTTTTATTTTTTTTATTTATTTATATTTTTTTAAATTATTTTATTTATATTTTTTTTAATTATTTTATTTATTTATTTTATTTTTTTATTTTCATTTATTTTCTTAATTATTAATTAAATTTTTATAAAATAATTACGTTGAAAAAATATTATTTTGAATTAGAAAAGAAAATGAAAATTTTTTTAAATTTTTATTTATTTTTTTATTTTTATTATTTATTTATTTATTTTTTTTTTTTTACCTAAAATTTTTTTTTTACTTTAAAAAAATTGTAACTTACACGCTAAAAGTAATGGAAAAATAGTCAATGTCAATTTTTGAAAAAACATTTTATTTTTTTATTTTATTTTTTAAACAAAAAAAAAAATTTTTTTTTTTTCTTAAAACTGGTGTTTATATTAATAATAATCCGGTCTTTTATAGCTAAATTTCATATCTTTAAGTGACGTCACGAATTGAACAGAATATATATATATATATATTTATTTTGTATGCATATAATTTAAAAAAAAAATTATTTATATTTAATTACTAGTTTAGTCAACTTTGCTATATAATACGTGAGCAGAATTTTTTTTTTCTCTAGAGAAACGCGATTGTTTATATAAAAAAAATTTATAATTATTTATTTAAAACATAAATTATAGGGTAATAAATCAATTTTTTTTTATCACGATAAACTGTTATTTAAAATGTATTATTATTTTTTTTATTTTACTATAAAAAAATATTTTTTTGTAATTTTTTTTATTTTATAAAAAAAAATTATTTTTTATTATTTTATAAAAAAAATTATTTTTTATTATTTTATAAAAAAAATTATTTTTTATTATTTTTTTTTACTATTTTTTATATTTGTAAATAAATTTTATATTCATTTTTTTTTTCATTATATTTATTTAAATTTTTTTATTCTATAAAAAAAATTAATTTTTATTATTTTTTATTTTATAAAAAAAAATTAATTCTTTTTTGTTAATAAAAAAGTTTTTTTTTATTTTATATTATAAATAAAGAAATAAATTTTGTATTATATTTATTTATTTTTTATTTTATTTAATATTGTTATATATATTTTTTTGTTTTTTATTTTACAATAAAAAATTATTTTTTAGTATATTAATTTTTTTTTTACTTCTATTTAAAAAATACTTTTGAAAATACTATCGTCCATTTTGAATTTTTTAAATATTAAACTAATTTTTTATATCTAAATTATTGTTTTTAATTTTAGTGACGTAATAAATTGACAAGAATTTTTTTTTTATTATCTATTACAAAAATTAATTATTAATTTTCAACTAAAGCAATTTTAATATTCCTTTATTTTTATTTATTTATTTCTATTTATTTAGTTTTATTCATTTATTTCTATTTGTTTATTTTTATTTATTTCTATTTATTTATTTTTATTTATTTCTATTTATTAATTTTTATTTATTTCTATTTATTTATTTTTATTTGTTTTTATTATATTTTTATTTTACAAAAGACATAATTAAAAAAATATATTAACAAATTTTTTTTTGAAAATTATATACAATTTATATTTGCCGATTCAGATAAGCTTATTGCAATTACATTTAAAAAATAATTCATATTATTTTTTATAAATATACTTATTTACTTATTGTATAAATAAGATTATGAAAATTTAGTCGATAATTGGTATTTTAGATTATTTTTAATTTTTTAATTTTATTATTATTAAATAATTACGTTTATTTTATTTTTTTTCATGCAAATAGTCAATTTAGAAGATTTAAATTTCGCGGCATTTTTTTTTTAAATTTTTTTAAAAATGTCGAGTGGCTCCCTCACGTTGAATCTACTTTACCGACCGAATGTAGAAAACGAACTCAATTATTTAGAAAAATACATTAAAATGACAAAAAATAAAATAAGAAAAATAATAACAATATTAATAAAATAATAATAATAATAATAATAATAATATTATATTATAATTATTATTTATTATAAATTATTATCAAAAAATAATATAAATATATAACAATAATAATAATATTAATAATAATATTTTTTTTATTATTTTGATTATTTTTTTAGTTTTGTATTAATATTTTCAATATTATTATTATTATTGTTATTATTATTATTATTTTTAATATTTTTTTAGATTCTTTTTTATTTTTTTATTTTATTATTATTAAATAATTACGTTTTTTTTCATGCAAATAGTAAATTTAGAAGATTTAAATTTCGCGGCATTTTTTTTTTAATTTTTTAAAAATGTCGAGTGGCTCCCTCACGTTGAATCTACTTTACCAACCGAACGCAGATAACGAAGTCAATTATTTAGAAAAATACATTAAAATGACAAAAAATAAAATAAGAAAAATAATAACAATATTAATAAAATAATAATAATAATAATAATAATAATAATAATATTATATTATAATTATTATTTATTATAAATTATTATCAAAAAATAATATAAATATATAACAATAATAATAATAATAATAATACTATATTTTTTGTATTATTTTGATTATTTTTTTAGTTTTGTATTAATATTTTTAATATTATTATTATTTTTTTTAATATTTATTTATTTATACATAATAATAAATAATTAGTGAAATATTAAAGAAATTGAAAATTCAATGAAAAATATTCAATTTTTGCTTTAATTAAAAATGGAAATATTAATAATATATTTATTTATTATTATTATTATTATATTATAATTATTATAAAAATACTCTATTATTAATTATTTTTTCTATATATTTAATTTAATTGTTTCATATATAAATAAAAAAAACAAATTCCATTTTTTTTTTTGCAAAATTCAAATAATCCCGCGCTAAATTTTTGAAGTAACCACACAACTAACTACCAACGTGAGAACAAAAAAAAAAAGAGAAATGTTAAAATTTTTAGTTGCGTCATATTGCGCACTAGTGGCGCACAACAACAACGACAACGACGAAGAACTAAAAATGCATCTCTCTCTGTATATTTGCGCGCGTGTTGTGTAGCCTAACTAAAAGTTGTGTGGTTGGTTGGGTCTCTCTTTCGTTGAATGACAAAAAAAAAAAAAAATAAGAAGTACATATATTTAATAACCTGTTTTTTGAAAGACACATGCCGCGTCGCGCCATCAATTAAATCATCACAAATAGTGTATATCACGTGTTAATTTAATATTATATTCAATGAAATGCTTATTACGTCAATAAATCTATTGTCAAGTTATAATCTCGTGACCCTCTATCATCAGACGTTATTCTTATTCGTGCGCGCTCGGTAGGTCAAAATGGCGTGAATATATAGTGAATATATATATATATAAATGTTTATGTGTATATGTGTGAGAAAGAGAAAAATAGTGAGAGAGCTTATAAACACAGCTCAATGATGATAATAATAAGTGTTTTCAATATACACTAAAAAAAAAGAACCAGTGTTTTATTTTTTGTTTCCATTTTTTTTTTTTTTTTGAGGTTATAAAATCCGTATTTGTTTTTTTGAAATTTTCAAAGACAAAAATAGGAAAGAAAAAAGGGGGGTTTATTTTTTTTTCTTCTTTTTTTTTTTGAATGGTGAAGAAGAGTGATAAACAGTGTTTTTAGTGAATTTTTTGGGGCGTATTGTTGCATGAGTTATGAGGACGGAATGCCCGCAGGCGGTAACAGTCGTTTCCGTGGTTACCCAGCGCGGATGTCTGAGCGCCAACAACTTGCACTTCTTTTGCAAATGACATCACAGGATATTGTTTCAGGTAAAAAAAAAAAATGAATAAATAAATAAATAAAGAAAATGAATTTCCCCTTTCCCCACCCCCCTTAAAATAAAAGAGCGTGAAAAAAAAACCACGTGAAAATTTTTCCCTCGCGCGCCAATTGTACTTTGCTTCTTTCCCCCTCCCCTCCTTTCTTCTCGTCATTCTCTTGGTTAACAAAAATAATATTCCTTTTTTTTTTTGTCTCTTAGTGAAAAATAAAAAATCATTTATTTTTTAATAAATAGAAAATTCTTTTCTTCGGGAATTATTTTTCTATTACGTTTTGTATTGAAATACGACGTTTATTTCGGTTGGGGGGTTTTTTTTTGTTCCTTGTGTGTGTGTGAGGGGAATAGAGACGAATGGAGGTAGGAATTCAAAAGGGTGCTTTTTCAGATATACTTAAATTATTTGTGTGTGTGTGTTTTTTTTTGTTATATATATATATATGTGAGTGTGTTTTGTGCCAGGTGAGGCTAAAGCAAAGTGATTTTCTTTTTCTATAGTACATATATTCATATATATATATATATACACTACTGCAATGCTGCCAACTTGAAATAAAATTATTTCGTGACAGGTGAAAATAACCGCGAACGAAAATAAATATATAAAAATAAAAATAGAGAAAGGAAACAAAATTTTTCTAAAATATTTCTATATTAATATATTAAATAAATAAAAGTTTTTTTTTTCTTTAATGGAAAATAAATTGTAAAACCTAACCTCAAAATTTTATTTTATTAGAAGAAATATCACGAGAATATTTCCCGCCAAAAATAAAAATAATTATTTTCTTTTTTTTGGAATTGTAAATTAAAATTTATGTTTAATCTAACCTATAAATTTTTTGTTTTCTATAATCTTTTTTAAAATATTATATATAGAAATAAAAAAAAATATCTTGTGAACCAAAGGTAGAATATTCCCGCCAAAACAAAAAAAAAAAAAAAATCATTTTTTAAAAAATAAAAAATACAGATTTTTAAAAATAAAAACTTTGTGTTAAGTATAAATAATAATTTTTGTTACGTTAACATAACCTCTAAATTTTTTTTTTTATTGGAAAAAAAAGTATTGTGACAATATTTCCCGCCAAAAAAAGAAAATGGAAATAATTTATAATAATTAACTAATTTTTATAAATATAATATAAATATTATAAATATGATAAATATTATAAATATAATATAATTATAATAAATATAATATAAATATTATAAATAAAATTTATAATAAATTATAATAAAAAAAATTTTTTTTCTTAATAAAACTTGGTACTTCGAGTAAATAAATAACAAATTTTTTTTTTCGTTAACCTAACCTCTAAAATTTTGTTATTCGAAGAAAAATATCTTCCGAATCAATACTAAATAAAAATAATTCCCGCCAAAATATTATTATTATTATTTTTACTATAAATTATATTTTTATTATTATTATTATTTTTACTATAAATTATAAATTTTATTATTATTATTATTATTATTATTATTTTTACTATAAATTATAAATTATATTTTTATTATTATTATTATTATTTTTACTATAAATTATAAATTTTATTATTATTATTATTATTATTTTTACTATAAATTATAAATTATATTTTTATTATTATTATTATTATTATTATTATATTGAGAATGTGAATAAAAATCTTTCGTTATAACCTAACCTCTAAATTTGTTAGAGGAAAAAAAAGTAAAAACCTAAAAAAATAATATCTACATTTTTTTTTTTTTTAAATAAAAATTTTCATTCCGTTAACCTAACCTCAAAATGTATTAAAAATTGCACAGAGTAAAAAAATAAAATAATAAAAATAAAAATAAATAATTATAAAAATAAATTATTGGAAAATAATTTTTTTGTTATACATTTCTGTATAAAAAAAAAATTTTTTTTTCAACAAAAAAAAATTCTTAAAATTTTCTTTTAAGGAAAAAAAAAAAGTTTTGTTAAAAAAAAAATTATGGTTTTTAGTATCTGTAATTAAATACAAATAATTTTTTTTCTTTTTTTTTATATTACAGGTGGTAATAGACCTGAGGGTACAAGTTCACAGAGTAATTCAAAATCATCGCCATTGCAACAGCAGAGAGGTTCAAAAAATCGATGGTCACAAAATAAAAATGGCGAATCATCACCAGCAAGTGGAATTAATCGCAAAGACGATTTTCGTATGCGACAACTTGTTAATGGATATGAAAATACTAAGGAAACAAGCGGTAAATATTATTTTTTTATTTTTAAAATCTTAAATTTTTTTTTTCATTATTTAGAATTTTTTTAATATTTGTTTTTTAAACATTTATATTTGATTATTTTCCCGGGATTTTTTTTTTCATAATTCAAAATTGTCGTTTTTTTTCAAAAATTATACGTTTTTTTTCCTAAATTTGTATTTTTTCGCCTTTAAAGAATGTTATTCACTGCAAAGAACCTAATTACCAAGTTTCATAAGAATCCGTCAATTTCTTTAGAAGTTATAACCGTTTTTTGGATTTTTTTGGGGGTCATTCCGTGATAATTATGCGTTTTTTTCGAAAATTTGTATTTTTTTGCCTTTAAAAGATTTCATTCATTGCAAAGAACATAATTACCAAGTTTCATAACGATCCGGTAATTTTTTTGAAAGTTATAACTGTTTTTTTGAATTTTTTTGGGGTCATTCCGTAATAAATATTCATTTTTTCCTTAAATTTGTATCTCTCTGCTATAAGAGAATATTATTTTTCGTAAAGAACGTAATTATTAAGTTCCATTAGATTCCGTTAATTTCTTTAGATGTTATAACCGTTTTTTGGATTTTTTTTGGGGTCATTCCATAATAATTGTGTGCTTTTTTTTCAAAATTTATATTTTTTCGACTTTATAGGATGCCATTCATTGCAAAGAATATAATTATTCAATTCTATAACGACCTAGAAATTTTTTTGAAAGTTATAACTGTTTTTTCAATTTTTTTGGGGTCATTCCGTAATAAATATACGTTTTTTTGTAAATTTTTTATTTTTTTGTACTAAAAGAATCTCATTTATCGCATAGAACATAATTATCAAGTTATATAAAGATCCGATAGTTTGTTTGGAAGTTATATCCGTTTTTTGAATTTTTTTTGGGTCATTCCATAATAATTGTGCGCTTTTTTTCAAAATTTATATTTTTTCGCCTCTAAAAGATGTTATTCATTGCAAAGAACATAAATATAAAATTTTACAAAAATTCGGTAATTTCATTAAAAGTTGTAACCGTTTTTTGGATTTTTTTTAGGGTCATTCCATAATAATTTTGCTTTTTTTCTTAAATTTGTATTTTTCCACTTCTAATTAATGTTATTAATTGCAAAGAACATATTTACCAAATTTCATTGCGATCCGGTAATTTTTTTTGAAAGTTATAACTTTTTTTTGGATTTTTTTTAGGGTCATTCCATAATAAATATGCGTTTTTTTTCGTAAATTTTGAATTTTTTTGCAGATAAAATTATGTTTTTTATTGCTGAGAACATAATTACCAAGTTTAATAAGGATCCATTAATTTTTTTGAAAGTCATAACTGTTTTTTTTGGATTTTTTTGGGGTAATTCCGTAATAAATGTACGTTTTTTTTATGGTTCTATAAAAATTCTATAATATAGAAAATCAGTTTAATGAAAATTCGGGAAAAAATAATAATTCAAACGAATAAAATTTGTTTCAATAAAAATATGAAGTAAAAAAATGAAATAAAATAAAATGAACAAACAAAAAAAAAAAAAAAAATTTAATTGACTCAGAAAATATTTCGCTTAAGGAAATATTTAATTCTGATAATAGTCCATAATCGATTATTATTTGAATGAAAATAAATTTTTATTTTTCACTGTATAGTTACTTAGTATTTTAACATTGATTTTTAATAAGTTTAAGGTGCGCGAGGACAATTTATATAGCATTTGAAATGCAAATATAAATCACAAGCAAAATTTTTTTGCTTTTGCAAAAAATATTTTTTTAAAAAAAAATTTTGTAAAATTCTATATTTTATAGAATTCATTTTAGTAAATGAAAATTTCGAAAAAATTATTGTTACACAAAGAAATAGTCTAATTTTTTAAATTTTAATTTATTCTATTTATTTTCAATGATAGTCGTTTTTAATAAAGTAATATTTCACTGAGGTCGGTAAATAGGGAAATCTGTTTTATCGATACTATCGGAATTTGTCACCAAGTGATATAATTTAATCTCTGGTATAATTTGATCGTATCGTTATATATATGAAAACCGGATTTTTCAAGTCGTCTTACAATTTTTTTTTCTTCGGGGTTTTTTTTTTTAATTTACCCTTTTTTTTTGGTTTTCTTATTTTTTTTTTTGTTTCTGTTACAAAATCGTGTTTGCACCATTGGTCGCATTATAGGACGTGAATTCTAGTGCCTTCTCTTAGTTCTCTCTCTCTCTCTTTTTTTTTTTTTTCTCTCGGTAGATATGTCTGGGACGTCTGGACACAGGTGCCTGACATCCCGTCAGGCACTAACATAGGGTCAGACAGGGATAGTAGTATCCTAGTGGTTGACTTGGGGAGGGGCGACAGACGACTCTCGCGAAAGATCAATACTCCGGGACAGGGCCGCAGATGGATGCAATCATTGCACACAAAAATTTATCGTTCTCGTAAATAATTTCTCAATTTTTACACTTTAAAGAAAGAGGAAAAAAAAAATTATTTTTCATATTTTAACAATAAATTTTCCAAAAATAGTCAATTTTTTATTTATATCTTTGAATTCTAAAAAAAAATTTTTTTTTGCTATTGAAAATTTTACATGGAATGCCCCTTTTTATACAAAAAAAAAAAAAATATTTTTTTCCTTGAAAACTTTACATGGAATGACCCTTTTTAATTTCGAAAAAAAAACCGGGGCTTTCTATGTTATGAAATAATATATTTTTTTTTTCTATAGAAAAGAGAAAAAAATTGTTTTTTTTACTTGGGAAATTTTATATGGAATGACCCTTTTTGGGTAGGAAAAAAAGTGGCAATCCATGTGGAAAAATAATATATTTTTTTGGGGGGGAATTCGAAAAAAAAATTGTTTTTTTTTTTTTTTCACCGAAAATTTCATATGGAATGCCCCTTTTTATGTATAAAAAAAGGGGACATTCCATGTGAAATGTAAAAAAATTAGTAAAAAAAAAAAAGTAGTTTTTTATGAAATTAGAAAAAATTTATTTTTTTAATGGAAAATTTCACATGGAATGCCCCTTTTTATGTATTAAAAAAAGGGGACATTCCATGTGAAATTTTCAGTAAAAAAAAAGTAGTTTTTTTATGAAATTAGAAAAAATTTATTTTTTTAATGGAAAATTTCATATGGAATGCCCCTTTTTATGTATAGAAAAAAGGGGACATTCCATGTGAAATTTTCAGTAAAAAAAAAAGTAGTTTTTTTATGAAATTAGAAAAAATTTATTTTTTTAATGGAAAATTTCATATGGAATGCCCCTTTTTATGTATAGAAAAAAGGGGACATTCCATGTGAAATTTTCAGTAAAAAAAATCTATATGAAAGAATAAGTAATTTTTTATGGAATTGAAAAAAAAATTATTTCTTTTTTTTACTGAAATTTTTACATGGAATGTCCCCCTTTTTCTATATATAAAAAGGGGCATTCCATGTGAAAATTCCAGTAAAAAAAACAATCTATATGTAAAAAATTCTATATTTTGAATTGTTATAAAAATTATTTTAATGAATGAAAATTTTAAATAGAATTCCCCTTTTTATATATAGGAAAAAAAGGGTCATTCCATGTCAAGAAAAAAAAATGTATTTTTTTTTATATATTTTTACAAATTTAGTTATTCACACACGACAAAATTTATCATCAATGGAATATTTTTCAAATGCAGGAAACATTGTGTAAATTCATTATGCCTGCGACCTTCGTATTCGAATTTAAAATTTTTTTATTCACCAATATTTGCATTTAAAATTAAAATCAGAAATACGTAAAAAAAAAAAAATGTTTTCAAACTAAAACGAATTTTAGATTTTTTTCTTTGTTCGATTCTCAAAAATTAAAAAAAAAAACAGTATTTAAAGGAGGAACAGAATTTTTTTTCAAAAAATTTCGATTTAAAAATTTTTTTTTTTTTAAATTCGATATAAAATAATAGTAAGTAATTTTTATTATTTAGAAATGAAAAAATTGAACATTATTCATAAGAAATATCGCATTGAAGTGTCTGTGTTAAAAAAGTGTTTTGAGAAAATAAATTCCTAGGGCGTGTGTATAGTTGCAAAATTCCGGAGGGGGATCGCAAAGCCAGTAAATCTGACAACCGGAACTTTCTATCTCAGATTAAAACGGTGTAATAACATGCGAGTTTGCTCTGTAAGATCTTAATAATCTATCTGCTTTAAGCACGCGGGCGGCGCCCTGAGGTGTCTCTCTCTTTCCCTTTTTTTTTTCAAGACAGAAAGAGAGAGAGAGAGAACTGAAATTTTCATTCACACTTTAATTACTTATTATCTTTTTGAAAATTAAGACATTTACTCAAAGTTTAATTCTATCCAACCACTTTTTTTCTATTTAAAATATTAAAAATTTTAATTTAAAAAAAAAAATTTTGATTTGTAAAAAAAGTTGATTTTAGGTAACATAACCTAAAAAAAATAATGTTAAAAATGAATTAATTAACAGTTTTTAGATTTTTGAAAACGATTTAGGTAACATAACCTAAAAACGCTATTTTTAGGTTATGTTACCTAATTCGTTTTCTAAAACCTAAAAATAGTGTTTTTAGGTTAGGTTACCTAAAATCTAAAACCATTATTTTTAGGTAACGTAACCCAAGAACACTATTTTTAGGTTATGTTACCGTATTCGTTTCCTAAAACCTAAATACATTTTTTGGATTTGTTACCTAAAACCTATAAATATTATTTTTAGGTTATGTTACCTAAATCGTTTTTAGGCTTTACGAACCGAATTAGGTAACATAACCTAAAAATAATGTTAAAAATGAATTAATTAACAGTTTTTAGATTTTACAAAACGATTTAGGTAACATAACCTAAAAATAGTGTTTTTAGGTTATTTTACCTAATTCGTTTCCTAAAACCTAAAAACATAACCTAAAAATAGTGTTGTTAGGTTAGGTTCCCTAAAATCTAAAACCATTATTTTTAGGTAACGTAACCAAAAAACACTATTTTTAGGTTATGTTACCGTATTCG